AAAAAATAGAGTTAGAAATGTTCATGAATGGGTAAAAGAAGTACTGATAAAAGATAAGCTGAGAGAGAATAGATTGAGATGGTTTGGTCATATACAACGAAGATTAGCAGAGGCAGTAGTGAAGAGATGCGACACAATGACGGTAGATGAAAGTGTTAGGGGAAAGGGCAGGCCTAAATTAACATGGGCTAGTGTAATAAATAAAGATACGAATCTCCTTATTTTGACTAATCAAACAGCCTCTGATAGAGTCGAGTGGAGAAGAAGGATTAATATAGGTAACCCCATTTGATGGGACTTAAGGCTTCGTTTAGTTGGGTTTAACAATATCACCTGAGAATAACATACACCATGGGACATCATCATGAATGTGTTTAGTTAATTGACTAAAGAAAATAGGAGGTAAGGACTTCAATTGACCCTTGATGCAATCCTATAGTAATTGGAAATTCACTAGTTTCTCTTGCAGGTGTTCTAATCGTAATCACAAGTCCATTATACATGTCTTTTATCACATCAATATACCTTTTGGTCATGCCTTTTTTCTCCAACACCTACCATATTAGAGCATCTCCTACAGCCTTGCATTTTAAATCCAAATAGCAAGCCAAAACAACAAAAAAGACCTCCAACAGTCTCGTCAAATGCTCCAACAATTTGATGAAAGCTACAGTTGCTAGCTTCCTTCGGCAAGGTACTATTACAGGGCTATTCATTTTTTATTACTTTATTCCCAATGTGTCATTGATGATCAAGCTATTTACAAATTTATCCAAAAGAGAAAGAACAAATATTTTAATGAAAGATGGTTTAAGTGGAGAGTATTGTCAGTGTGTGAATTGAAAAAGTGAATAGCTAAAATAAATAAATTTTTAAAAAAGCTAATTATGGAAAAAAAATTTCACTATCATTGTTCGAGATGCTCTTATATTAAAAAAAAACTAACTTGAAAGGGATTATCAAAAAAATATTAAAAAAACTGATGGTCAACTTTTTTAATTGGTTGAATGAATAAAGGTGGTCATTTTTGGAGCGCAATGTACAATATGTTGGTATGTGTAGCATTTCAAATGCTATGGTAAGGCCATATATAGATTTATTTATTTATTTTAGATATCATATACTACATATGTGAGATATACATGGGTTTCTTCCAACGTGCCCCCACGAAATAATCATAGTTCTGCCCCTATGTTTAAAATAGGAGTATACCCATGCTTACTTCCTGTGTTTTAGGTGAGTACACAAATCTCATATGTTTAAAATAGGAGTATAAAAACAATAGTTGGTAAATAAATCACTCCTCTCCAATCCACCAAACAACACTTGGACAGAAAGTTTTAAAGTTGTAAATAAACAGTACAAGCAAACACGCAAGCTCAATGCAATGCTCAAAGATTTGAGAGAACGAGATCATGCGATTTCCAAAATCAATCAACTTACCATAAGCATTTCCAATTAAAGTTGTATCGTGAAACCCAATAGTTATAGCAAACGTAATGATCATGAGGATCCAGTTTATTTCTGGTATATATATCTGCCCGTGAATATGTTTTGAGGTGTGCACAACCTTTACTCGTGGAAAGCACCCAAGGACATGGCATTGCTTGACAATGGAGAATGTTGCGGTGATGATAACCTGACTTCCAACAATAGTTGCTAGAGTGACAATAATGAAGACAGGCCAAAATACAACATCTGCAAGACAACCAACAGTTAAAAGTAGATTAAGATTAAATTTGGCTTCAAGAACAAAATGCATGAAAGAATTCCAAGTCAAGTAAAAATGCAAAAACCAGGCATTGAGTCATAGAAGCTTTTAGGAATGGATGAGATATTTCTAGATAGGAAAGCAGCCTGGCCCATGTATTGTACAACCAAACAGGGATATACAACAAATGCAAACGCGAGTTGCACAAACAAGAAGAATGTTCAAATTAACACCTGCACATAATAAATAGGGATGCACACCATGACACACAATAAATCATGTGAACCTATATTTCAAAATGTGACAGTTACAACCCCTATGGTACCAACTAAAGTGAAACCAATAATATTTGGGTAAATTACACTAAACTCCCTTGAGGATTGAAAAAATTACATTGATCCTCACAAGTTTGGCATAATTACACTGTATTCTGATATAGACGAGATTCTAGAATTTTTACACTTTTATTTTATTTATTTTGGTATTACCACTTTATTAATTATTATGTTTCTTAAATTGTGTATATTTAACTAGTTTCCTATTTTATTAGTTTCTTTTTTTTTTTTTTGAAGAGCAACAACAAAACTTTATTATTAAAAAATGTGAAAGTGTGAAAGAGGACAAGGAGTCCTCATACAAAGAGAGGAAGATAAAGAGCAAAACAAAAACATAAAACTCATCCCCCTAAGGAAGGCAAATAGCAGTCTAATCCCTAGAGATCAAGAACAAGGGAACTCCTTTAAAAGGAGGAGATACAAATGCCCAAAATGACGCCAAATAATCTACCCTATCCCACAAAGCCTCTACACTTGCTTCGTTGCCATCAAAGATTCTAGCATTTCTCTCCAACCAAATGGCCCAAAAAATAGCAAAAACAATGCTTGTCCACATTGTTTTGCCTCTCTTGGTTCTCCCTAACCCTGTAAACCGAATAAGAAGCATCTGAACGCACTCCCGCGGAGCAACCCACTGCTCATCGCATAAGCCAAACAATCGCTGCCATAATACACAAGCCATCGGGCAATGAAGAAATAAATGATCCATTTCCTCCAAATTCCTCTTGCACATCACACACCATTGAGGACAGAGAGTGATTAGGCCTTCTCCTTTGGAGAACATCATTAGTTGTTACACCCTTTTGAGCCAAAGACCACATGAAAAACTTCACTTTATGAGGGCCATCCGCTTTCCAAATTATCTTATGAGAAGGAAACAAGGAAATAGAGGGATTATCAATGAGCTTATCAAAAAATGATTTACATGAAAAGACCCCTGAAGAGCCCAAATTCCACATCCTAATATCACAAGATGAAGAAAGAGAGACCCCCTCAAGCACTACCAACAAAGATGCCAGCTCCCCCGCCTCCCTATCATTCAAATTTCTAATGAAATCAAAATTCCAAGAGATGGGTGCCATAGAAGAACAAGCCACCGATGCTATTGAAACATTTAAGAACGAAGCAACCGATAAAGAAGAAGGAAAGATCTAGCAAACGAGATATCCCCTAACCAAACATCCTCCCAAAAGCGAATGTTCACCCATTCCCCACTCTCAACGAAAAGTAGTTAGACACAAGGGGATACAAACGAGAAATGGATTTCCACAGTGAACGACAATTGCCTCTATTAACCACATTAGAATCTCTACCATTGGGTTGAACTTCATACTTGCTTTTAATAACTGAACACCATAGTGGCTCACTTTGACTCGGAAATCTCCACAACCACTTGCCCAAAAGAGCAACATTCCTAGCAACAATATTTCCAATAGCTAATCCGCCTTTCTCCTTTAGAAGAGAAACTGTATCCCATCTAACCAAATGACCCCCTGTGCCCTCTTCACACCCTTCCCAAAGAAAGTCTCTCACCAATTTCTTAATCTTCCTCCCTATGCTAACCAGGATTTTAAAGATGGACAGGAAATAAATAGAGACAGATCCTAATACGGATTGCACCAAAATATATCTCCCCCCCTTAGACAACAAAGCTCGCTTCCATCCCTCCAATCTTTTCCCAATCTTGACAAGAATAGGTTCCCAAAAGGATGCCAATCTAGGATTTCCTCCTAATGGAAGCCCTAAGTATTTGATGGGAAAGGATTCAATGGAACATCCCAACACATCCGCTACCCTATGCACATAGCTATCATCCAGATTAATACCCACAACCCTGCTCTTGTTAAGATTGACCTTGAGGCCCGACACAATTTCAAAAATTCTCAGAATCTGTAGTAAACCCCCCACTTTATTTTCCTCCTTTGATGAAAAGAATATAGTATCATCCGTAAATTGTAAATGAGTAACTCCAATCCTATCCCTTCCCACCACAAACCCCTCGATGACACCCTTATCCTTAGCTAAATCAATAATCCTACCCAACACATCAGCAACTAAAATAAACAAAAATGGTGATAAAGGATCACCCTTCCTTAGACCCCTAGATGCCTGAAAAGAATTCCCAGCTTTACCGTTCACAATGACCGACATATTGCATGACGACAAACACCCCCAAATCCACATTCTCCACCTAGCTCCAAACCCCTTTCTTTCCAAAACAAAATCCACAAAGCCCCAATCAACATGATCATATGCCTTCTCGAAGTCTACCTTGAATACAACGCCTTCCTTACGTTGCCCCCTATACTCCTCTACAACCTCGTTAGTCACTAAGACTACATCCAATATCTGCCGACCCTGCACGAACGCACCTTGTGCCAAGGAAATAGTTTCCCTAAGAACAACTCTAAGTCTCCTAGAAAGCACCTTTGCTAAAATCTTATAGAGAGATGTAACCAAGCTAATGGGTCTAAAATCCCCAATCTTGACCGACCCCTCCTTCTTGGGAATTAGACAAATAAAGGATGCGTTGGTACACAAATTAACATTCCCACTCTCAAAGAACTCACCAAACACTCTCAAGAGATCACTTTTTACAATATCCCAACAATCTTGAAATACGGCTATTGAAAAACCATCCGGACCTGGAGCCTTATCTCTTTCACACTCAAATACAGCCTATCTTGTCTCATCCTCCTCAAAGGGCCTTTCAATCCAATTAGCCGTCACTAACTCCACTAGAGCCCAATTAATGCCAACAATCCCTGGACGATCCACACCCCCGTCAGAATATAACTTTGAATAAAAATTAAAAATCTCCTTGACAATAAGCTCCTCCTTACACACAACCTCATTCTGACCCACTACCAAATTTTTTATAAAACTCTTCTTCCTCTTTCCCGACGCCACTCTATGATAAAATCTAGAGTTGGTGTCACCCTCTCTAGCCCATTTCAACTTAGCTCTTTGACCTCAAAAACAATCTCTTCCAGTTTCATTCTGAGCATAGACCGCCTTTCCCTTAATGCTCTAGATAAACCCTCCCCAGCCTCCTTCACATCTAATTCCTCAATATCCCGAACTAACCCCATTTTCACCGCACCTAAATCCCCAAAACCTTCACGTTTCCAAACTTTTAAATTATCCTTGACACCTCTCAACTTTTGTATAAACTTAAAGCCCTCCCATCCATGGACTCTACCATTTTCCCACCAATCTCTAAAGAACTCCTTAAAAGATCGATTTTCCAACCACATATTCTCGAACCTGAATGGGGAAGGACCCCATTTAAAGGGACAACTCTCAAGAATCACGGGAAAATGATCTGACACTACTCTAGGCCTTACCTCTTTCCTTATGTTCAGAAATAACTCCTCCCATCCTAAAGTATGAAGAAACCTATCCAATCTGCGACACACCCGATTTTCCTGAAGATTAGACCAGGTGAACCTTGCATTACTCAAGGGAGGATCAATCAACTCACACTCCCTTATAAAAGAATCGAAATCCCGCATACTCCTGTTGGTAGAAACCCCATTGAGTTTTTCCGAAGCGAGCCTAACCACATTGAAATCCCAACCCACACACCAATTAGGAGTACAAAGCCCAAATAATCCTCCCAACTCATCCCACCAATCTTGCCGACTCCAGGGTCTATTAGGACCATAAACCCCTGTGAGCCACCATTCCTTATTATCCCTATTCCTAAATTTAATAGACAATGAAAATACCCCAACAACTACCTCACACTCCGATACGACTCTATCATCCCACATAATCAAAATTCCCCCGGATCTCCCTGTAGAAGGCAAAACAGCCCATCTCCTAAATCGAGTCCCCCAAACACTCCTAATAAAAACCCTATCACACTCCTCACACTTTGTCTCTTGAAACATCACTACATCTGGTTGTTGCGTTTTCAAAATATCTTTAACTACGTCCCTTTTCCTACGAGACCGTAGTCCTCTAACATTCCAACTGAAGATCTTCATCGAGAACCATCATCACCCCTTGTCCCATTCCCCCCTCTATGACTGACTGCCACTCCCCTTAAATGTAAACCCCCCCTCCTAGACCAAAACTTCTTCCCACCTTTACTTACTAATGCCAGCCCAAGAGTGTCAAGTAATTGTGTAAAATGAGGTACATCATCCTCCTCCAAAGGGAAAGACACGTACTTACTCATTTTCCTCAGCCACTTTTCAGACTCATCACCATCATGACCACAAACATTGTTCCTCTGGAGCCTATGATTAGGAGATTCCTCCATTAAAAGATCATTCCTATGAGTATCCATGTTAGAAGAATTGGGTTTATTATAAATAAGGGTTGTAAGCCTTATGGAAAAACAATTTTGAGAATTAATACAAATTCGAGTTTATACTCCTTTCTAACCTTGGGTATTCTTTAAGAATCAACCGCTATTGAGCCCTTATTCTCGATATTCTTCGTGATTCAATAAGTCTACAGAAGGATCTTGCATCCGGTATTCATTCTTGAATTGGCGGTCTCTAAGATTGTTACCTTACCTTACCTATTTTGTGTTTGCCACTGCATCAGGTGGTATCAAAGCTTACGATTGTTCCTGTGGAAAAAGGGGCAATTGATGATGATCTCAACGTGTTGAGTTTCCACAGACAAAGACTAAGGAAGGATCATGCATCCAAGGAGGATACAGATCACGTGAACCAAGTCCTTGAACAAGAGGATACAATTGCGTGGCCATTCACATAAAAAATTATTCTAGATCCGATTGTGGATCGAAATAAACCAACAGATAATCACTAAGAATTATGGAATCATTTTGGTGATCATTTAACTTTGGAAGACAATTCTTTAAAATTCAAATTTGAGAAAATTAATCTTAAATACAAAGTGATTGTGGACAAGTGTAGACATATCAAATTGTTTCGAATAATGAAACCTCAAGGACGAGTTTTCTCAAGTGGGGGAGAATGATGTAGACAAGATTTTAGAATTTCAAATTATTTTATTTTATTTATTTTGGTGTTAGTATTTTATTAGGAATCTTCTAGTTTAGTATAGAATCTAAGAATGTTTGCATTTCTTAAATTGTGTTGATTTAATTAGTTTTCCTATTTTATTAGTTTCTTGTTCTATAAGAATTAGATTTATTTTATTATAAATAAGGGTTGTCAATCTTAGGGGAAAAAACAAATTTTAAGAATTAATACAATTTCGATTTTATAGTCTTCTTTCCAAACTTGGGTATTCTTTGAGAATCAACCACTATTGAGCCTTTATTCTTGGTTTTCTTTGTGAATGAACAAGTCTAGAGAAGAATCGTGCTTCCGGTATCCATCCTCGAATCAACGCTCTCTAAGATCATTACCTTTATCTATTTGCGTTTCCCGTTGCATCATGTTCCCTTAGGATTTTAATTCACAAAACACTTCGACACTTTGCACTCTTTCCATCAATCATTTGTTAGCCGAATTGATAGAAAAATGATGTTGTCATCTTTTTTACATTAAAATATATATCTTATCAATGATTATCCCTTTGTCTACACACCATCTGTATTTTTTTAGGTCATTTTAGCCTTATTACGAGGGAGGTTAGTGTAATTATGTCAAACTTGTGAGACTTGCTATATTTTATTACTAAATCTCCGAGATGGTCTGTGTAATTTACCCTTAATTTTTCTGTCAAAGATAACAATACATGTGGAAAATTAAATTTTGTATGGATGAATTATTTTGTCACCAAGTTAAAGCATCCAAATAAAAGAAAAGAAAAAAAAAAAAGTCTACAATAAAAACAATTTTAACATTTTAATTTCATGAGAAAAAATATTTAAAATTTTGAATATAAATGCCTAAGTGAAAAAATATATATATATATATAACTGAAAAACTAATAGTTTCACTTTGATCCATATCACAGGGCTGCAAGTGTTGCAATTTGAAAAACAAGTTGCAGATTTGCAAAACAAAGGGTCAAAGTGAGAAAATGGGCCAAATGAAAAAGTCTAATCTATTTATAGGAGGGTCACATGATCCACAATGACGAATTCCCCATATATTTTGGAATTTCGTTAGCATATGTCAGCTCATGTGTCAGAGCGTATCAATCCCTTGGGTTTTACCTTGATCCCCAAGCATCTGTACAAGAAACTCCGTGGTGTGGTCTCTCTCTCAAATGAATTTACCAAAGACAATGTCCCCCTGCAGGATGACATGCCAAGTGATAACTTTGTCTCTAGCCAGAAAACCAGTCAATCCCAGAGTCCTACAGCGCTATGCTGAAAAACTCAGAATACCATAGTCCTGCCTCTTTAACTTAGGTATTGGGAGAGGAGCATGGCAAACCCTTCCGCGGGAGGTGACATCCTGCTGTGTAAACATCACGGTGAGCTATAGTTGAATGAGTCATTTGAGGCACTGTTTAAATCACTGCGGTACATCATGCACTGCGTGGCATAGATTTCTTGGTGGGGATAAGTCTTTTCTAAGTAAATCACTTAGACATGTCTTCATAAACGATAGACGTGTGAAGCCACATGTAAATCTTTAATCCGACATATACACAACATGAAATCTGCCATGTGTGCAACTGACATGAAGAGATCAGAGATATCCACAGACACCTCATGTAACGCAAAACAATAAATAAAGGAGAGACTGGGTGAAGTGATTAGCATATCTACGCACATGCCAGGCTTGAACACTAAGACACACAAGGATGCAAACCACAATAGCTGGGACCAGTGGTGGTTCAAATTTTAGTTTCTGCCTCACACACAATGCAAGATTGAACAAACTGGCTCAAAAGTTAGCATAAAGACCTAACAGAAATGAAAAAATATCGTGGGTTCTCAACTGAGCATCAGAGTACAACTACACCAATAACCCATTTTTATTATCAACATCTGACCTCAGTAATTCCTATTGCCACTTTCCAGAATATAGGTTAGATAAAGACTTACCGTGTACCTTAAAAAAAGGACTTACCCTTATTGACAACGCAATGAAATGCCCCAGATCTGCAAACATAGCTTCAGTACCTGATGAGACCACACAAAAGCTCAGTGATTAAGGTGGCATGTTTCAAGAAAAGATTCAGTATTCTTAGGTTCATGAAGTAAAATATTGTATACATTCAACAAATAATAACCAGTGTCTAGATTCATGAAAATGAGAGAAAGAGAAAAGAAAAACTAAGGCTCTGTTTGGTTTAACTCTGGAAACATGATTCCACCCTTATGTTTCAATACTTTGTTTGGTTTAAGTTTTAAAAAATTGATACCAAGGCCACATTTCAAAACTCATTTGACAACATGTTTGGCAGGGCAGGGAGTTTTTGAATTTTGGTCTACCCGGTCGTCCGCCCGGTTGACCAGAACAGTGCTTTTTTTTTTTTGACCATTTATTTAAAATTACCCAAAAAAAAAAATTAAATAAAAATTAATTTGTCACAGAAATTTTTAAAAAATAAAAAAATATTTTTAAACAAAACAATTTTTAAAAAAATTCCAACCAAATATACAATCAAAAGTAATATTTTCGGAATTTTTTTAATTTTTTAAATAAAAAAATTAGTTTTTTCAATAATTATTTTTTTGAATTAAATTTTAAAAAGAGTTTGGTTATGAGCTTTGAATAGAATTTTGAATTGTGTGTTTAATTATGAGTTTAAGTTTTTTAATTAAGCTTTAAAAACTCTTTCCAAAACTCATAATCAAATAACTTTTCTTATTTCAAAAATTCAACACTCAATTCAAAACTCATAACCAAACAAATTTTCTCTTTTCAAATTATAATTTCAAAACTCACAAACTCAAAACACAACTCCATATTCAAATCATAATTCTAAAACTAAACCAAATGCTACCTAAACTTTCAATTTTCCAAACTCATAACACCACTCATATCTGAAAACATGGAACAAGGCACAAGTGCACAGATCCCATATACCTGTGATGGAGAGAAGGATCCCTCCAAGCGAAATCCATCCATCTTTACCAATATCACTAACGAACTTGATGATATAATGTGGAGATATTGCATAAACAATTTTCGGGTTCCAATATATGGTATTGTACAACCCAATAGCAAAAATTGATATCAACCAGATAATCACAATTGGTGCAAACATAAAAGCTACCCTGTGGGTGCCATAATGCTGCAATGCAAACAGGCCAACCAATATGACACAAGCAAGCAATAGCACTTCCCCTACATAGAAGAAAGCAGTGACAATTAGGAGAGTAAAGCCAGCACATTGTCTCAAAACTTAAGCAGCGAATGACAACAAGTTACCATTTTTCAAATTTTGTACTCTATCTTGAAGCCCGATACCGATGACAGAACTGCAATTAAAAATAAAAATAAAAAATGAGCCCAACATTAGACCTCTTTAATCCATGAGAAAATTCACAAGATCCAAGGGAAGTTCCATACTTCAAAGTTGTCAAATAAGAAACTAAGAGCAACAAACCATTGCTGGGACCATTTGACGATCAAAGTCTCTAAATAGAGATTGATCCAAAAAGGAAAATGCTACTTAACAAAAGATACAACACTACAACAAAATTGAATTTTTACGACTTGCAATGCATGTCGTAAAAACTCTTTCACGGCATGCACACAAATGCCGTTATATGACATGCCGTGAAAAGTTGAGCATCATTTACGACATGCAGGTAAAGTTGTAAAAAGTAATAAATTAAACATTAATGACATTTTGTATGTCATATATTATTTTTTACGACATTTTTGTCATGCCATAAATCATCATACTTTCCATGGCATAATTTTGCATTTCGTAGAAGGTTATTTTGAATATATTTATGGCATACTTTGCATGCCGTATATAATATTTTACGGCATTTTCTTACATGTCATACATCATCACTTCTTACCACATAATTTTGTACGCCGTAAAAGGTCATTTTTAATATACTTATGACATACAAAGTATGTCATATATAATCTTTTACGGCATTTTCTTGCATGTCGTAAATCATTAC